CCCTCTGGGTTTTGCCAAGAGCCTCCAAACCTGTTTCTGCATGCCATCATCCCCTCCCTTGCTCCCCTGCCACACAGTAGCCTGTTTTGGAAGAAGCCTCCATCTTGTGCCAGTTTTGTGCCTAGCATCACAGGGCTCAACTGAGTTGAGAGCCACTTTGGTATCGTTAAGGTGCTGACCCGGAATCAGGGATCCAAGTTCTTCATGCCTTCGTCATGAAAGTCAGCTGGGTGACTCAGCCCATCTCACCTAACAGGGTTGTGAGGAAAAGGGGAGGTAGGAGTATTATGTTCTGTTTGCTGCCTCGCATTATATATTAAAAATCGGGACTAGAAATATAATAATTCGATATGCCCAATTTTGCAAAGCCCACATGCCCATGGCTAACGCGGCATGGGGGTACTTCATGCTAGAAATGCACCCTTGTGCACAGATGGATGCACAGTGAATCACTTGCACATAACCCATCAGTGGCTGTGTGCAGTGTCCATAATCAAGAAGTTGCATAGAACTAAGAATGTGGTCAGAAAGCAAAGCTCAAATGTGGAAGGGAGGTTTTGGGAGATATTTGTAGACGGAGAGGGAGGTTTCAGGAACAGAAGAGGAAGGTCAGGACTTAGCTGCTGTTTCCCCTGCTGGCGTTCTAGGGGTCCCCTTCCTCCTGTCCTCTGTGCCAATCTGTTTGCTTGACATTTGACCTGACCTTCATGTGCCGCATTGATCCGCTCACTCTGTGACAAAGCGGGCTCCCTGTCCCCTTATCAGTCCTGCGTGCACTCGTCCTCCTCTGCCAATGTTTTATATGAAGCGTGTACTTTAAAGAAGTGTAAATAAAATGTAAAGTGAAAAAGACCTAGTAATGTTCCTCTGTAAATCCTGCTCCGGAGCCAGTAACAATTTCCCTGGTCAGCAGCAGTCATCTGAAGGGGATACTCATCAAACAGAGGGAGAATTTGAGGCTGATAAAACTCCAGATGGAAGAGCTTGTCTGTATCTGTTTAGAGAAGGTTTTTGCCCTCTCCCCACTTATTTTACTCTCCCAGCACAGATACAATGTAGGTTGCAAGGTTAATCCAAAGGGATTGGTTAAAGGAGCTTTGGAAGGTGTGCTTGCTTATTCCAGGGCTCCCCGGTGTGGCATTCCAGCCATCAGGAGCCACACAGAGCCTTGGAACTGATCTGTGACAGCTCTTCTTTTTCTCTTTCCAGAAGAACAATGGGCAGAAAATCCTCAATTTTGAATAGATCCACAAAGATTGTTTAACAGGACTGCAACAAAATTATCTCCTAAATTCTACTGCTCTAAAGAAGGGTTAGAGGTGGTTGGGAGTGCTGGAGGTCTGGGTCACGAAGTTCTTAGTGTTGAGAGTTACACAGCAGCCCGAAATCTGCCAACTCAGCTCTTGAATATAAGATTATGTGGAATATTTAACTCAACCATATTTATTCCAATTCCACCCATCTCACACACAAGAGGTTTGCAAACAGCTACGTACAACACCACAAAAAATCAATAATATAAAACAACCATCCTGAAAGGCATAAAAGTCACGGCTGAGATAATCGCATCCACCAAAATAGGACAGCCACTTAACGGTTCCCACCGCACGCCTGGAAACCCACCGGCAAAAGCCAGGTTTCCAGGGCTTTGCAAAAAGCCGGCAGAGTCAGGACCAAGCTGGTCTCCAGAGGACGGTCTGATCTACAGGGAGGCCCCCTGGCTGACACCCTCCTACACACACCGCACGACCCCACCACCACCCACCCCTCCGAAGGCCTGGTGGGAGCGGGGCAGGGTCCAGGTGCTGTTCGGGGAAGCAGGAGGCGGCAGGAAGGCCGGCTGGGTGACTTCGGGGGATGGCGGCTGCCTCTTTTGCAGCCAGACAACCTCGCAGGGCTGTTGTGGGGGTGGGGGTGGGGGCAAGAGAGGCGGGGCGAGGGGTCCGCTGAATAATGACGGATGACACCGGGGAGAGAAGCTGCCTTCAGCCTTACACTCAAAAGGAGGGAAACGCAGCCATCCCATCCGGCTGCCCTCGGCCTTCCTGCCGCCTTGCGCCGACCCGGCCGGGCTCCGCAAAGACGAACCGGCGGCGACGCTCTCGCTCCACTAGGCACAGCCCGGGACGAGCCGCGCATGCGTGGCCGGCGCAGCGGAAGTGCGACGGCCGGTGCCTAGACGGGCCCCCTGCTCTCCTTCGGGTTGTGCCGCCGGCTTCCGGTCCGACGGCGTTCCCGGCGCGGGTGCTGCGGGTGGCGATGTCTCGCCGGGCTCTGCGGCGGCTGCGGGGCGAGTGCCGCGGGCAGGGGCTGCTGGGCGAGGAGCCGCCCCTCGGAGGGCCGGAGACGCAGGGGAGCGGCGAGGACGAGGAGGTCGCGGGGGACCAGCCGCCGCCCGTCTCCGCCGGCGGGAGGAGGCGGCGGGGCACGCGGAGGGAGCCCTTGGAGCGGGTGGCGAATCCCTTCGAGCTGGTGAGGCTCTGTCGCGGCCCGGCCGGAGGCCTTCAGCAGCCTGGCGGCTTCCCCCCTGCCTTCCCAGCAGGGCTCACAGCCTCCGGTCTGAAGGGAAGAACCGCCCCCGGAGAGGCTGTCGCGGCCCCGGAATCGCCTCTGTCGCCAGGCCGGGGGGGGGGGGGCCTCTATAGAGGGGCTGGGGCCTCCCGGTGCCTTTCAAGCGGTTGGCTACCAGTTCCAGCCCATTGTGGGTGGCTGCAATCAGTTGGTAGTACTGGGGGTGTCTCCCCAAAGTTTGCGCCCCGGAGGAATTCTCAGTGTCAGTTACCTATTAGTGGTTAAAAAACCTGTGCTCTTGTTTGCTCTCCTGATCCTGCTGCTGGCCGCCCTTCTTAAGTGGGTCTTCTCTGTAACGTTAAGAGAGAGAGACAGAGAATCCAACTGATGGTTATGCCATATGCTCGCTTGTGGACTGGGAAACTTTTATCCTGTGCAGATAAACAGTGAAGGACTGGATGAGGACCTGGATGAGTCTAAAGAGAAGACTGATGAATCCCGACTGCAGGAAGGAGGCAACCCGACAACTGAAGAGGCCGAACCTGAAGGGTTGGAGCAGGACAAGCGGGAGGATGGGGGAGAGGTGGAACAGCTGGACCAAATGGCAAGTATCTTGTAGAAAACAATGGTGCCTATTTTGCTTTAAATTGATTTGTCTCATCAGTGAGAAACAAAGCAACGTAGAACAGGTTATGAAAAACAATTATACAAAAAGTGCACGCAAAGAGGTCAGCTCATGGCAATAATAGTAACAAACTGTTTTGGAGGCTGCCTTGGTAGCCAGATGCAATTCAAGATGCTGTTTGTCATCATTAAAGTCCTTTGTGGTTTGGTCACCTGAAGGAATGTCTACTCCCAGTTGTTTATAACCATCCAGTCCAATCTGGCAGGATGGGCAAACTCCTGGCTAAGGGAGCAGGAGGCCTGCCTTTTCTTCCATAGTGCCTTTCTGCTGGAACGTCTCTCTCCTGAGAGTTTACAATGGCCCAACCTGGATGGCCTTTGAAAGGGTTTTGCTGTGCCCCTGGTTCTGGGGTCCTGAGTTTGTGAAGGGCTCCATTTCCTCCTATGTTGATATGATGGAGTATAATATTATTTGGCTACTATTTGCAATTTTATTTGCTGGCACAACTTTTGGATATTTGTATAGCTCCTAAACAGAAACTTAGACATTTTCCTGAGTTAGATAACCTGTTTGAATTTCATACTTTTTATGTCATGCTTCACTATATTCATCTTTCAACCTTTTATTTTCATTTTTGAAAGTCTACTGCAAACAACAAATCACGAAAGAAAAAGAAGAAAAGAAAGAATAAGAAGAATGCTTCAGGCGAGGCTCTGGTAAATTGAATTAGGTTTGAGGATTAAGCATTTGTATGGAAGTGCTGAATGAATTAAACCAGTTGAGGCATGTGGAAAAAGTCATGGTTATTCCCTTTGCTGCCAGGAATTTGAGACTTCATGTGGAATTAAAACATTAAAATATTATGCTACCTTTACAGAATTATAACTACAGCTCTATAGAATTTTGACCATTTAGTCACCAGAAAGCTTGTGGTTCAAGGAACAAAGACAGGTAAAACCTGTGCAAAGACCAAGCTCAAGCAGAATCCGAGGGTTGAAAGGGGCCCTGGAAGCCTTCAGCCCTGTCTGGGGCAGATTCTCAGACAATCCTGGGCAAATGGCTGTCCTATGTTCAGTGATGGGGCAGCTATGATTCCAGGAAGTGTGGACCATATTAATAGGAAGGGGACCGTTAATGAGGATTGAGACTTGCCTTTACATGGATTTTGTCTGAGAAGAGTGAAGCCCTTTGGCTGATTTTGTTGCTTTTCAACAGTTCCTTGGAGATGATGACCAAGTGGAAAATATTGAAAGCATTTTGCTGAGCATTGAGAGTTCCAGTGGGCCCCCATGCCAGAGCCAGAGCAGGCTGGTCACAGATAACCGGCCTCTTCTTTACATTGAACACAGGTAAGAGACGGACGGTGGTGGGAGAACCCTGTCTTGTGTGCTGTAGATAAAACAACCAATTTGAGGCTATACATCAGTGCTGAGGCTCCTGGCAGCTTAAATTAAGGGAGAGTTCAAGAGGAACAACTTATGTGTGGTATTTTCTTATATTTGCTATCAAACCTGTGACATGCCTCTTGCACTTATGAACTTCTTAAAGTGCGCCTGTGAGAAAACATTTAAAGGAAATTGAATTGACCCTGAGTGGTGACAAGGAAAAGAATCAGTCAGGGACCTGTGGCCTGGTAAACCACATTTCTTCCATTCACCAGCCATATCTCAGAGACACGGCTGGCACGCTGACCTAGTAGGAAGGGTAAGTACTACTAATGTGACCCAGGTGGCTTTGCCTAAAATATTCCAATATGAGGCTGTAATTTCGGCTGCGTCTGCCTTTTTCCTTTCTCTTGCCTTTGCAATGCAGGGGGCCAAAGGGGTGGAACCTCTGGTTCTGCTTTTGCTCATGGCCATTCAGCACAGGGCAGGAGGAGGGGCCAGTAGACAATGGCTGCTTGCATACAATTAAAAGCACCTCGTATCTTGAGTTGGATGGCTTTACGTGAGCAAGGTTTTGGACACAACAGCGTCTTCTCTGCATCGAATAGGATGTAGGCATTAAATGACAGGCAAGATTTGTGTTCCCAACTTTCCAGGAGCTTGAATCCGGAGACAGAGCTGAAGAGATACTTCGGGGCCCGGGCAGTTCTGGGAGATCAGAGGTGAGATCCAGTGTTGTGAGATAGAAACCTGTCTCTGGGTTATATGGGAAAGCAGCACATCTGGCCACACCAGTCACAATCTGGGGAAACGTTGTGGTGGGAGTGCCATTTGCTAGACTGTGCTTGGGGCAAGGGCTGCCCCACCCTGCCTGGGAGTCTTGGTGCGTAGAAGGAAGGGAAATGGTCCGTTCTCGGTCCATACGTCTCCTCCAGGGAAGGACCAGTTTGGGATTCCTCTGAGCTGCTCTGGGACCATGGCAGTTCTGGACAGAGAGTTTTTATGGATGGTCCAGATGTGGCTGAAACAGAAGGGGCTTTGTGCCACACTTTACTATCGCAGGTGGCCTCATGCCCCAAGGGAGGTCCAGCACACAGCCCTGGCCCAGGATGCAGGCGATAGGCTGTGGGTTGCCCTATGTCTTGCTGGGGAGAAATCAGTTGGTCGCGGTTCCTTTGATGAACTCGGACAAAGATTTGAAATCCGTCTTTCTCACAGACGTTGTGTGCATGTGAGGACAAGCACATGACGATGTTAGATGTGGTTATTCCCTCTTCTGTTGCATCTGTTTAATCTTTGTGCTCATCGGGAGGTGGTGCTGTAAGATGCTCACTTCAGCGCTTCCTGGCTGGGGAACAGAGGCAGTGGCATTTTCCCAGTAAGGAAGCCCATGTTCTCTCCCTCCAAAAACAAGGCTGTGCTTATTTTAACGACTGGTGATCGCCTGGAGTGCGGCGGGGGAGGGGGGTCAGGATGCATCAATAGGGCTTTGAAAACAACCCCATCACCCATGTGGCCTTTGTTGCAGCTGCGTAGCAACTAGAAGATAGATAAAGGCTTTGATGTATGAATTCACGTCTTAAAGTGTGCTCCTCCTTTCCAGGCCAAGGCAGAGGCAGCGCCAGTATGTACGCAGCACATGGTTGACAGCACCCAAGGACACCTGGCCACGTCATAGCAGAACAGGTGAGAGGCCTTCCCAAAGCCTCTGACACCTCGGCTGACTTTGGGACGGGGAAAAGGCTCCTGTCTGTTCTGATGCCCTATTGGATACTGAGTGGCAGAGCTGAGGAGCTGCCATATATTGTGGCCACCGACTTCTCTTCTGATGCCAGTGGAAAGAGAGGCCTTATAGGGCACCAGCTGTTGTCTCGCAATTGTAGGAATACTTCCTTAAGTGCCCACATTCTGGGCTGTTCATACTCTTCTCCAGCTTTGGGTAGGAGAATTCCAGATTTGTTTTAAGGCTGAAGAAAGGAGGAATTCCTGCTTTACCCTGAAATAACAGGTGGAAATGTTCACATAAGCATCTGGATTTCTCTAGCTTGGAGGCGTATAAGACAGGCTTGGGAAGATGGATAAGGGCTGCAGTTGAAGTTCCGATCTGGACTCGTACATTTGGAGTGAGGATAATCGGCCATCCAGCTGGAAAGGGGGTGAAAAAACCCAATCTTAGCATTTCTGCCTCCAGAGTAATTTCTCTGCAGTGTTTCTCACCCATGGCAGCTGTGAGATAGGTAGCATGTATTCTCCGAGAATTCTGGGAGTTGAAGTTCACGTACCTTAAAGTGGCAAAGATTGACAGACCCTTCACTCTCTCGCTTCTGGATTATCATTCCATTCAGGCTGACCACCTTCTTTCTTCCTCTCGCTCCCCCCTCCCCAACAAACCTCTCCAGGGATCTCCATGAGGCTTTTAGAATCCAGGCGTGGAGAGCAACACTTTGCCTTTGAGCACAACCGCGAGTACCAGCTGGTGCAGTTCAAGTTCTTGGATGCCGTGGAATCGATGGACCCAAACAATCTTGTGGTGGGTTCTCCCTCAGACACGCCCAAAATCACGAATTCAAATTCACCAACTTTTCAACTGCGGTGATTTGTTCCATTCCAACTTTGACTTCTGGGCTTGTTCAGGATTTGGTGTTGTCCAGTCATGCCCAGTTGGTGCCCTCCAAAGGTGTGTGTCCTACCATTCCCAGTGGGCTGCCCCTCTAGGCTGTAGGGATCGAGTGACCCTCCTGGGCCACAGGTGTGTCCCGGCCCACTCCGCATGGAGCCAGAGCCCTTCAGGCACCCAAAGGCGCCTTGAAGATTCTGAAGGGTTCTGAGCTGCGTCCTCTGAGAGAATGTTATCTCATCATAAAAAGGGATGCAGGGATGATAAATCTTCCCCTCAAGGTATGCACGTCAACAGTTCGAATCAATAGAGTTACATATCCTTATAAAAGGACCTTGAAACATGGTTCTACCTGCTATGGTAGGTTTTTGTTCTTATTGTGAGGGCTTTGGGTGCCGAAACCGTTTTTCTCCTGCCCTCCCTGTCGGTTCTGAGTGCCATCACAGCATCGGGCCCCCCGTCTGCATCCCTGCGACGGGCACACGGCCTCCCTCTGCTGACGCTGAGAGCAGAACAGCCGGAGTCGGCTCTTGTAGGGCAGAGGAGAGGCTCCCCTGTCTGCAGATGGGGTTGAAGGGGAGTCCAGCGCAGGGAGATCTAAGCCAACACTTGTGCTATATTTAAACCTTGACCATCTTTGAGCGAAGGAGCGTCTCGTTTCCCCAGGGCTTCGGAGAACAGGCTCTGCTTTTGAGACTTTTCTGGAACTGGTCCAGCTGTGTTAACTGGTGAACAGTTTGATGGTAAATACAAAGCGTGGAAAGGCCAAACTTGTTAGCCTAACATTAGGCAGATAATGAAGACATTGATTGGAGAGCTCCCCCCCTTCCGTCCTTCTTCTCAGCCAGGATAAATGTGGCTCTTTGAAATTGGAGGGTTTGGGAGATAAAAGCCCCTTTGTCCAGGAATGACTCCCAGCTCTGCCTTCTTTGCCCCCCCCCCCCACCGCCTTGCTCCTCAGGGGGGAATTCAGCGCAGTTGAGGAACATTTGGGTTCTCTGACAAACAGGAATGCCAGTTCAAGGAAAACGGGAAGGAGTGGGGTTGCTTTTATGCAACAGCTTGTTTTCAGCACAGTCCGTTGAGGCAATGAGGTGGCTTTTCCTGGATCAATAAAAGGTGACGCACAGAAAGCTGCACAGGGTGTTTTGCAAAACTGATGGCAATGAAAAACAACATGATTTCAGTGGCAAGTAGACACGAGGGGCCCCTGACAAGCGATCCCGTGTCTGAAGGGTGAAGGTTTTGACTTCTGAAAAACAGCCCCTACTTAATTACATTTGCTGAACGTGGACTCCGTAAACCTGAACCTGGAGGTGGAGCAGAGGCTTCAGGGAGAGAAGGGACGTGAGGGGGAAGAAGTGGAGGATGGCTCGGAAGGCCACGGGGAAGGCCGGGGCTTCCGGGGGCCAGGTAGGGGCCAGGAACGCAGGCCAGCATTCGGTTTGACCACCAGCCTCTTGAACCTGGAAGCCTCCCAAAGGATTCCCAAACGCTGCTTTGGGATCAGTGAGTGGTGTGAAGGGGGCAGTTTTCCCCGTTCCCTCCCAGCAGACCCTCCACCCCGGTTAGCTTTGCTCTTCTCCAGAAAGCCCCTCAGCCTGGCTCTTCGGCTTCCTTCTCAGCTGCTGCTCCAGATGAACCCGTACCACGTGGACTCCCTTCTGCAGCTGAGCGACGTCTGCCGGATGCAGGAGGACCAGGAGATGGCCAGGGACCTGATTGGTAAGGACGGGGCAAGGGTGGCCCATTGAGAGAGAGAGAAGGGAGAAAGGCCTCCGTCCCTTTGGAAGCTCTGGGCCGGAGAGCGACGCTTCCAACCTGTCTGGCCCTCAATGCCCGTTTTGCAGAGAGAGCCCTCTACACCCTGGAGTGCGCCTTCCACCCCGTCTTCAGCCTCACCAGCGGCACCTGCAGGCTGGACTACCGCCACCCGGAGAACAGGTGGGTGCCCACCCTGGAGACTTGGAGGGAGGCGGCTGCTTCTTAGCCGGTGACCGCTGGGTGCCAGGGCCCCCGTGGATGCCCTGCTCGGCCAGGCTCCCCCGTCCCTGGACTCACGTCCTTTCCCTCCCGGTGTCCCCCACAGAGCCTTCTACCTGGCCCTCTTCAAGCACTTGCTGTTCCTGGAGAGGAGGGGCTGTCCCCGGACGGCCCTGGAGGTCTGCAAGCTCCTTTTGAGGTGAGGGCTGCTCTCAGAGGGGGGAGGGGCGGCCCTCTTCCAATGCCACCTTGGGACAGGCGTGTGTGGCCCCCAAACCAGGTTGTGAAGGTCTTCTGGTGGCCTTCCGGAGGTGGTGGTGGGGGTTGCTGTTCCCGGGGATGCCAGCTGGTCCTCCCTCCGCCAAAGGCCAGGTGGCTTCCGTTCAGGCAGCTGTCCTGAAAGAGTCGTGGTCCTTTTATCCCCCCCGCCCAGCCTCGATCCGGAGAATGACCCGCTGTGCATGCTCCTGATGGTGGACTTGCTGTCCCTGCGAGCGAGAGAGTACGCCTTCCTGACACGCATGTTCCAGGAATGGGAGGTGAGAAGAGCCCCAGGCAGTTGGAGCCCCCTCCCCCCCCCCGGCCCAGTCCTCAAAGGAGGGGTCAGTCCCCCCTCCATTTTCCTTGATCTGCAGCTGGCTGCCTGGCCCCCTTTCTGGGCCAGAGAGGGAGTCCCGGCCTCCTCCCTAATGCCCCCAGGTGTTGTCTTCTTCTGCCTTGCTTCCTGTTAATTATCTTTTAATTAGAGAGCTTTGAGACAATTAAGCCAGAAAAGGCTCCAGTGCTGAGTACTCTGGTTTTCAACTGGGCTGGGTGGCTTTAATGCCAGCCTGCCCTACTTTCACACTCTCCTAGGCCTCTGACTGGCAGGTGGGTGCCCCCCTTGCCCGAGGGTCTGCCTGGGCTTCTGAAAGGCACCAGGATCCGAGCTGCTGCCCCCTCCCCAAAGCGCCCACTTCAGCCAGCAGGAGGGGCTGCTCTGCTCTGCTGTCAGGAACAGCTGCTCCTCCTGCCTCCCCTTTAAGGAGAGACGCTGCCCTCCTGGAGAGGGGGTGGGGGCAGGCAGATGCTTGGAGCCCCCCCCCCCCACCTTCCCCACCTCTCTCCTAGAACTCTGAGGTTGCCTCTTCAAACTGCTCACATCTGTGTCTTCCTCTCCCTCCCCCCCATCTTAGGGCCATCGGAATCTGAGCCAGCTGCCCAATTTCGCCTTCTCCGTCCCTCTGGCCTATTTCTTTCTGAGCCAGCAGGAAGACCTGCCGGAGGCAGAGCAAAGCCGAGCCCGGGAGCAAGCGGACAGCCTCATCCAGCAGGCTCTGATTATGTTCCCCAGTGGTACGTGGGGCCCTGAGAACCGCCCAGCTCACACCTGCAGCCGAGAGGAGGAGGAGGAGGGGCCCCTGGGGTGGGAGAGGGGGCTGGGGTGGCATTGCAGTTAAGGAAAGCGCCAAATGTCACATTTTAGACATAAGCAAGTACGAACACACACACGCACACACACAGGAGTTCCTGTCAAATTGAACAAAGGGACTGAAGGCCTTTTCTGTGCCTCAATAGTCCCCCCACCCCCACCACCAAGCCCTGGTAAGGCGGCCTGAGCCCCTTTGCCCTGCAGGGAAGGCCCTGACTCTCTCCTCTGCCCCTCCCCCTCCCAGCCCTGATGCCCCTCCTGGACCGGTGCAGCGTGCAGCCTGACCCCGTGGTCGCCTCCCATGCCTTCTTTGGGCTGGAAGCCCAGCTGAGGTAAAGGGCGGGGGGGGGGGCTTTGTAGGGCCACAGCTGTGTCTCTCGGGAGACATGGAGAGCCTCCGTGGGGCAGGAGCTCCAAGTGGGGATGGCCAGAAAGCCATTTAAGCCAGAAATCGATAATGGGGGGAGGAGAAGTCTTGCCTGTGGGAGAGGGGAAAAGCAAAGGCTGCTCCTAATAACTGCAGCTTTGCTTGGCTAATGAGGCGGCTGTTGAGGTTGGGGGTTCAAGACCCAGGAATTCCTCTCCCTTGGCCTCCTTTCACCTCCTGCAAGAGGAAAGGTTGCAGGAACAGTGGCACCAAAGCAGTGATGGAACAAGCGTCCCCCAGGACCCAGTTTCCTTAAAAGCCCCCTCCCCCCCCCCCACCCTCTCCCCAGTGTGCCTGCAGCATTGAGCCAGCTGGTCTCCCTCTACCTGGGGAGGAGCCACGCCCTCTGGAAGGAGCCCAGCGTCATGGCCTGGCTGGAGACCAACGTCCACCAAGTGCTGCGGGTGGTGGATGCCAAGGAGCCCGTTCTGGAGGAGGCAGAACAAAAGTGAGTTGGGTGATTGATGGGGCCTTTTCCCTGCTGGGTGACACACGCACCCCCCTTCCCATTGTTCTCGCTTAGGACGTTCAGCGCTGCCCCTTCTCCCGCCATAAGCTCAGTTTGTGACTCGGTGCAGAAAGGGGTGGAGGACCTGGGGGTGCTTTTGCTTCAGTGCCCCTGGGAGAGCAAGGGGTGGGCGGGCGAGAGGGAGCTGTTTGGAGGAGACTTTTGGCATTCTCTGCCCCCCCCCTCTCCCTCCCTCTCCCCCCCTCTCCCTCCCTCTCCCCCCCTCTCTCTCTAGGCGAAAGGCTAGGTACCAAAACGCACCCAGGAACGTCTACCGCCACGTGATCCTCTCGGAGATCAGGGAAGCCACAGCAGCATTACCTCCGGTGAGGGATCCAACGCGGCTGCTCACCTTTTGGCCTGTCTCCCTCCCCTCCCTGGCGGTGTTTCCATTCCGCCCTCGTGCCTGGCTTGGCTGACCCCCTTCTGGTCTTCCTTCGGGTTGAAAGCCCGTCTTTCTCAGGGGTAGTAAAGACGCTTTATTCAAGTACTCAGCAGAGGGAGGCTGGACGGCCGTGGCCATAATGGCCCCTGACCTGTTGCTTTCCTCTCTCAAGGAAGTGACCTCCCAGCCCATCATGGGGTTCGATCCTCTGCCGCCCCTGGACTCCATTGCTTCCTACACGAGGCCCGAAAGGTATTTCCTCGCTCCCGGCTGGCTTGTGCGGGCGGCAGTTCCGAGGCGCCGCTTGGCCTGGCCAGCCTGAGCAGAAGCCGAGAGGCTGCCCAAGGCCCCCCAGGGAGACCCCCCCTCCTCTGCCAGCCTTTCAGCCACTCGGCCTTCCTGTCTTTCCAGAGCGGCTCATCCGGGCAACGAAAGCACTTTATCCCTCTTCTTTCGCTCACTGCTGCCGAACTTCAGCTTGCAGGTAAGGTGTCCTTCTGAGCTTGTCCAAAGGCAACAGCAGGGGTGTCCAGGGCCCGGCTGGGGGTGGGCGGAGCTGGTGCCCCTCCAAGGGCCAGGGGGTGTGGGGTGAAGGGCAGCAGAGAGGGGAAGATTGGGATAGGTCTGGAGCAGCTGCGGTGCACCGGCCAGGGATTTGGTGAGCCATCCTGCCCGGTGGGTTCTTTCCGGGGTTCGGATGAGCCGTGACCGCGCAGATTGCCTGCTGTGGTTTTGCCTTTGCCCCCGATGGCTGCCCAGAACCCCCTGGGTGGCCATGGGAGTCACCTAGGTGAACCAAAGGCAGCCATCGGGGAGAGGGGAGAGGCTTCCGGAGGACTGACCTGGCTGGGGGTCTCCCTGTCCTCTGCCCCACCACAGGGGGAAGTTCGCGCCGGAGGAGAAGCCGAGCCGGGTGCCGGGCAGAACCTCAACCAGGGAGTGAACCGGCTGATGGCGGCCATGCGGGACATGCTGGCCAACATCCAGTTCCAGGAACCCCCCCGAGATGACAACCCTGAGGGCGATGGGGGAGACTGGGACTGAATTCTGGCTCCCCTCCCCCCACCCACAATAAACAGAAGAATCTGGAGTGGCCTCTGGGCTTTACCTCTGCACCCCCCCTCTCCCTCTTCCCCTCCCCCATCACGAAGGGAGGGCCCCGTGCGGGAGGGAAATCTCCCCCCAATTCTCTTGCTTTTCCAGCCACTGTGCCAAACCTGGCTGGCTCTTTGGAGGAGGGAGCTGCAGATGCCCCTGTCATGCTCTTCTTCCCCCACCAGTGGTTCTGACGGGGGCCTTTCTCCTAGGAAAAGTCCAGGGGAGCCTGGCTGGGCCCCTCCTCGCCAAGGCCGGCCTGATTGGGATGGTCAGGACTTTCTCCAAAGCTAAACAACCGTCTGGCCAAGAAATTCTCCCAGGGAGAGGTTTGGGGGGAGGGGGGGTGATGGGCATCAGTTGCAAAGGCAGCCCCAGTGTGGAGGCCCAGAGCAGCCGTCTCCCTCGAGCGAGCCAAGGGCCACAGCAGCGGCTTCCCTTGGAGATCCTCCTCCAGGGGCCTCTTTCCGGCTCGGAGGCAAGGAAGAGCAGCAGCTGGGGAGGGGGCCCTCTTCTGCCTCCCTTACAAGACAGCCCTCCCAGCAGGCCATCTCTTGCAGGCTGCGGTGATTACATCCCTTTTTAACTAATAAAAGCTAGGAAAATGTGTTTGTTTAAATGCTCTTGACGCAACTATGGCTGAACCTTTCGGTCTTCATATTTTGTGAGGGGGAGGAAGGGTGCCTGGCTGCCAGGCTACCCTGGCATGTTGTTGTTCTGCACTGGGGGGGGGGGAAGAGCCCCCCCCCTCCGTGCTCTAGAGCAGTGTTTCCCAACCTTGGTGACTTTAAGTCCTGTGGACTTCAACTCCCAGAATCCCCCAGCCAGCATA